TGAACTCATTAATTAATCTTTAACTGGATGCATGTCCACTCATTTTACACCCAAGGGACAAATGGATTTACACTATCTGCTGTGTAATGTAAAAACTGTTTTTAATACTTTGTGATTTTTTTTTAGTTCTAATGAGTAGTTTTAAGCTGTAGTTTACATTTTTGTACAGATGTTCTAGATTCTATGTCTCAAACCTTTGACATGAACCCGAAATGACTAAGTCAATAAAAATTAAAAAAAAAAAACACCTGTAAAATGCAGAAAAATTATCAAATAATGTTGAAAATACCAGGTGCACATCTTCATATAGTAAATAATAAGTGTACAAATTTTCATACAAATCTATGCAATAGTCTCTGGGAAAAGATCCGGACAAAACCACATAATAAAAATGAAAAAAACACCTGTAAAATGCAAAAAAGTTATCCAATCATGATGAAAATACCAGGTGCACACCTTCATATGGCAAAGAATAAGTGTACAAATTTTCAGACAAATCCTTGCAACAGTTTCCAAGAAATGGTCCGGACAAAATCTCGTCTACAGACAGACGGACAGACAGACAGACGGACAGACAGACGGACAAGCTGATTCCAATATACCCCCCCTAAACTTCGTTTGGGGGGGGTAAAAAATATGTTTATGCAGTTGAATACTATAAACCAACAACTATTCGTGTCATCTTTTATTCAGGAATCGTCAGTTTGAAATCAATCCTTGACAATTAATTTTCACGACTTATGAAACATTCTATACAAATATAAAGCAAAATAATTGGTTCGCAGCGATTAATATTTGCGAGTTGAAGTAGGTCGCGAAACTTGCAAATATTTCTCGCACGAGAATACAACTTGGTTTACAGGTTGTATCAGCATATAAAGTTTGATAAAAATATTTTGAATAGTTTCTTTGAAACTGAGCTAAGTTCAAAGTGTGATGGAAGGACAGGAAGATTGATAGACAGAATTAGTGAAAAAGAGGACAGAAGGATGGAAGGAAGTATATACACTCATTACACTAGCCTGAACCAATATTTACATGTCTAGAACTTTGTTAAGTAATTTTATTCTTATTTGCCTTTCCATGACAAGGAAAACCATTTTTCTGAGAGCATATATTGTCATGCCATTGTTTTCAACCTGTACACTCTTTGTGTCTCCAATGTGAGAGGTTTTCTCCTTTTTTTTTGGGGGGGGGGGGGGGGGGTTGCTGTAGAATTATCTGTCCTTCATGCTTCAATTTTGATGAATAAATCACATACTTTAAAGTTTATTTAATGCTATTAATGTTATTTAATTTTATATGAAACATGTTACATCTGATACATACATGTATGAATTGTTCATCTGAATCCAAAGCAAAACTACATTGTTATAATAATATTGAAGTATAATCTGTCCCTTGTACTTCTCACTCAGTATGTAATTTCCACATGCCAGCTTTCAACTTTACCCAGTCCCAGGCATAGGATTCCTAGGATTTATAGAAGGCTGGTCTCCAAGTGCATGTCCATAGAAAAACATGTCTACTGACAGATGCAGCTAGATGGAAAGACAGACATGCCGATTCCATCATACCCCCCACCCCCACCCCCTCTTTAAACTTTTGGATATAAAAAGTTTTAGGTTGATGGTAACACCTATGACTTTAAAGACCAAAAAAACTTCCGTAACCTCCTTGCAAAATCTGTTTTCAGGCCACATTGAAGTAATACTGTAGATTCCTTGTTTTATGCGAGTACTTAATATTGCAGAATGGCCCTTAGTCTTCAAATCGTGAGAGGATTGTATCAGTGAGTGATTGGTTGACCAAGAGATTTTACATGGACTTCAGCACCATAAAAATAAAAGCCAGTAATTTTATTCCACAAGTAGTGCTTCTTGCAAAATTACATGATAACAAGAAGTCTGTGGGCCAATACTCACTAGTAATACCCCACTCTGATGTGAATATTTGCTCTCATGAATCCCACCATATGGTATGCTTAGACAAAGAGTATGCTAAAATTTCATGCATCTGCAATGAATATTGCTGAGAAAACTGCGAGCAAAACTTGGTACAAACGGAAGCACAGATAAACAAGAAGTTGACATCAGATTCATTTTAAAATGAATCCCACCATATGGCATGTCAGAACAAAGAGTGTACTAAAATTTCAAGCATCTGCCTTGAGTAGTTGATGAGAAATCTGCAAAGAAAATTTGTTATGGACAGACGTACAGACAAACAGCTAAACAGAAACACAAGGGTAAAACTGTATACCCCCCTCTCCTTCGGAGTGGGGGTATAAGGCCAAAAAAAATAATAGTCTTGTTTCCTGCTACCCGACCTACCCTATTTTTTTGCACCCGACCCTAAAGTTTTTTTAAGTTTTGGAAGAAAAAAAATCAGGAATTTCTGGAATTTCATGGATCTGTCACCGTAATCGGTTTCTGTGTTAACACAAAACAAGCATTTAATGAAATTCTTGTTTTAAATATGGACTTTCATAAAATACCACTTGAGTTGTGCATAAAAAGGCATGAAAGTTTCATTTTAAAAGACAATATTGACCTGTGACATGTTTAATTTGATCTTGTATTAGTTCATATCCTAAAAAATGCCGTCGGAAAAAAATAAAATAAAAATATAAAATGAAATAATTTTCCTACCTACCTACCCTATTTTTTTCAGGCTGGTAGCAGGAAACAAGACTATTATTTTTTTTTTTTGGCCTAATTAATGCCTCACATATATTTAGGAATCTACAGTAATGGATGTAAGAACATTCCATTTGAGCATGATGTTTAGTTTGGAACACCAGCACCTTAATACAAAACCACTATAATTGATTTACCTTCATTATTTTCTTCTGTTGGATTTCTTCTTTCTCATTCACAGAGTCAGAATTCTTCAATGTTTGTATCTTTTCTACAACTGAAACAAATACAATGTAGAGTAACAAATCTATTTTACAATTATTTTTTTTTGTGCATGTTCAATTTTCAGAAAGCAATATATGAGTAGGATTGAAGGCTCAATTTTCAGAGAGCAATATTCTAAATAGAGAAGTCACTATATACTGGTGAAGGGCTTCATATTTAGACCTTTTTTTAGTACTTAAAATTTTTCCATTTTTTTTTCTTTCAGCCAAAGATTGTCAATATCATTTTTTAAATTAAGGTCTATTATTAATTTTTATGATGCTTTTTTAGATTGAAAGGTTTTAACTCAATTAATTAGTATTAAAATCTGTTTAGCCTAGTTGTGTGGTGTATAATGAAAACACCCAAAAATTTTCCAAGTCTGTGATTCTTATGACAATTATAAATATAATATTTCAAAAAAAAAAAACAAAAACAAAAACAAAAAAAAAACAACTTACCTACCTAAATGTACCTACCTTGAATATTTGGATTAGTACATCAAACAATTTTTTTTTTTATTTACATAAAATCATATATTTAACTTTAAAAAAAAATTCATTTGTTTTACATACATCAACTACATCGTATTTAAAAGTAATTCTTAGTCTTCTAAGACGAACGGAAAATATTATTCATATATAAGTATTGTGAAGTAAGAGTTATCTCCTTTAATATGACTGCAAAGTCTTGTGTAGATTTTATTAAATCAAATATTTCTTTCTTTCTCTTTTTGTTTTGTTTTTAGTTAAATGTCAACCAAATACTTTATTAAAGTAATACATTATATAAAATAGAACGTAATTAGAGAAACAACACCGCGGGCTTGTAGATTTTCTCGACAGGCGTGCTCTAAGGTGTATGCATACTTGAATACGAATAAAACCTCCAAATTATTTTTTTAACAGGGATGGGGTAATTGTAATTAGTATTTGTAATTGAGCGTAATTAATTACATTTTTTAAAGTTATTGGAAGTAATGTGTATTTGAGCCAGTCTTCAATTACAAGTAATTGAATATTTTTTAAATACAATTCCAAAAATGTCATGTATTTTCAATTACTTTTCAATTACATTTCAATTACTTTTTTTTAAGCTATAAGTTTAAAAAGGTGTCTTTTCAAGATACACAGTTCAGTATACCTGCGTGGCATGGGCTTGTGTTTGTGCAACAATTAAATGTCTCAGAATGTTTAATTTGTTTATAGTACAGCATGCCACACTGCCCAGGGCAATAGGTAGAGGTCTAATTTTGTTCAGGTGTGAACCCCTCTAATACCCAAGAACAAAAACACTGAATAAATGTTCACTATAGTAAAAACCTTATTCAGAACCAAACATGAATTCAATAGTATTGGATGAATTTAATGTCCCAGAAAATGTTTCTGGAAATTTTAAAGTCAAAATCATTCCATGTTTCCTTGTCTTTCTCGGTTAGCCCAAAGGTATTTAGCTGTACCAGCGACTTCAGCACCCGTTGAAAGACTTTTCAGCATGGCTGGAAAACTGTTCAGACCAGAAACAGTACATAATGCTTTGTGTATCTCAATGCCGTTTATATATGTATTTGTTCTCAAGATTTTTTAAAAATAAAACTTAAGTAATTGAAATGTATTTAATTACATTTGTAAAAGTAATTGAGAGTAATTAATTACATTTGAAAAAATCAATGTAATTGTAATTGCAAGTAATTGACAAAATTATCAATGTATTTGAAAGTAATTAATTACATTTCAAAGTAATTGACCCCAACCCTGTCTTTTAAAATTATTTTTGTTTGGTAAAACATCAAATAAATGGTCTATTAATGTAATATATCTAATAAAATATAAATTTCGTTAATAAATAATAAATTTTCCCCTGGCAGGCGTCGGCAGGCGTATTTAGTATGACCGGTGCAAAGGGGGCTAACTCGTTACACTACACGTGTAATAGACTAATACTCAATTTCCCTATCTTTTTCGGCAATATCTAGATTTCGTGTATTAATATATTGTTTTCAGGAACATGTTTGTGCAAGGGAATATAAGATTTTTTTGACAAGAAAAAAAATTACCTGCTACCTAAACTCGAGTGGGAACAACATACGAACTCCAGCCATGTCCATTGGCATTTTTAGTGTAAACAAACCAAAATGTCGATCCCGATATTTAATGAGAACTCCGAAAGAATATAAAATTAGAAAACACATAAACTAAATAAGAAATTAAGACTAGGACTAAAAGCTTTAAGTGGTTGAATAAACTCTGTTATTAAACAAATTGTGTGCATAAATTTATTTTAATAAAAAAAAAAATAATAATGATAATTTTTTTTTTCCATATTACATTGTACATGTAATGTACAGCTGAAAATTATTTGCAAAATTTTAATTTTGGCTTTTGGGCACTATATCAAATATCAATCTAACAGACAACGTGCTACAAGTACAAGTTATGGTTTATCTTAATTGTAGGGATAATCCTAATGGATATAATAAAGTTAACCCAAATATATTTTATATGAGCTAGACAGGCTAACTGCAGCGTACATTTTTAGACATTGCTTAGTGGTATAAATAAGTATATGCATGATGAAGATTTTTGTGGATTGACTAAATATTATATGTGTATTATATGAATATTCGTTAATTCAGACACTTGAGTTCCAGCGCCCGGACTACTAAAAACCCCTTCTATCATTGATAGATACATGTAGATAACTGTTAATTCTGTTCTCCACCAGTCGCTTCTAGAAGGTGAAGCGCTCAGATTAACGAGGTTCCCAGCGGCGGATCCAGGAATTTAATAACGGGGGGGGGGGGGGGGCAGTAGAAGGCAGGGAGTCTGGAGGTTGCATTGAAGCCCCAAGCGGCCGGATCCAGGGCAAAGCCCTGGTGGGACGAATTCTAACAAATAAGAGGTGTTTTTTCTCCTTGATTTTAGGTTAATACAAACAAAATGTTAAAAAAAAATCAAACAGGGTGGGGGGGGGGGGGCACGCCCGGTGCTGGATCCGCCTTTCGTTCCACTATACATACAAGCGTACATTTGAGATCATCTAGAAATACTGTCTGAATCTTTCAATCGCTATCATTATTTTTAAATTTTATAAACAACCAAACAAGGCCACAATACTTTAATTTTTATGTCACAGTTGTAATTAAATTATTACTATTATTAAATATGAAAATTATGCTTTGCGAAATATTTAGTATCTTATTCCGATTGGCGTGCATAGCCAATCGAATACAACCGGTTTTGCAGGTATGTGAGAGTCATGTGCGAGTGTTTTGTTTTGTAGAGGTGAATTTCTATTTTTAGCATTCCTATACGTATGAATGACCAGTGACCTACCATGGACCAATGGATTTCACTATACTAATTTATATGCATGTTTTTACTAATTCGTGCACTATATAAAGTAGGAAACCCGCCAAATTCCCCACCCCAAGCTTTTGTGCCTTTACGGTAACAGATAATGTATTGGTTATACCTTAGATTGATTCAATCGATGTGTATTATTTATTTCTGACCTTAATACTGGATGCCTGGTAAGATGTTCAATAATCTTGTAATTCATTTACTTGTTAAATATATGTAACGATCTTCTGGCAGTCGTATTAATATCTTAATTACCCTTACTTTTCGTTAATGTTTAAATGTCTTGTAAGCTACCCAAGGGGTGGCTAGTATTTCTGAATCCTCAGCATGTTTTACGGGATGAACTGTCCGTCAAATTCTAATTCTGGGCCAACCGTGAGTTTTCCTCTTATTGTTGAACCCAGATTCATAAAACCTCCAATAAGCCAACACGCGATATAGTTTTAGTACTTTTATATAGAATCAGCATAGAATATACTTTTACATGAGTTTGGGATGTATCAGCACCGAAGGTCTGATTCCAACTGACTATAATTTTTGACAACAAAACATACATACTGAACAAAGAAAGAGTAAAATAATAGGATTAACAAAAAGTATAAAGAAATCAAGTATCAAACAATTATTGAGAGAATGGTGACATTTTAGCGGCATGTATATAATAGAATAAAAGTAGATGAAAGATTAAGTGTCAATAAATATAAATATAAGTCAATTAGGAGATTAACTGTCCATCTCTGACTGTGCCTCAGGTAGGATTAGGGCTGTGCGGAATTTATAGAATTTATCACATTTGAAGAAATATCCGAAAAGTTTTTAAAACAATTTACACAAAGTCCGAAAAGTTAATTTATACATGATTTATACATGATTTTATATTTAGTCCAAAAAGGGTCATATTTTACACCGTAACACATGCTTCGCCTTCGCGTAAAACACGTCCTCGTGTTTTGAATGTTAATTAATAGAAATTGCCTCTCCTTGGTTTTCCTTGGTGTCTACGCGGTTGAAATTGTCGCTTATTTTCCCTAAACATGTCGAGCAGATGATCCCTTTCATCTTCCAATATTCGGATGGTCTGTAGCAGGGCGTTGTTTTCTTTCCTTAACTGTTTAGTTGTTTTCTCAGCTTCTGCCTGAATTTTCATTACATACTCATTATGTTCCTTTCCGATCTCGTTTAATTTCCTCTGCATTAAGTCCATAATCACTCTATCACCGTGCGCGTCGTCTTCCAGTTTGCGAATTTTCTCACGATAGATTTTATCATTAGAATTGTTAGATTGTTCTTGCACCTTCTTTTTCATAACCGCATTTTGATTTTGAAGTTGTTTGATTTCAGATTCGGCTTTTGTTAAATTCGTTGTCAAACTCCTTTTCTCTTTATTTGCATTGCATATTTGAATTTTTAGATTTTTCAGCTCAGTTCGTAGAACACACGAATTATCACATATTGAACGAAACTGACTGTCCCGAAGAGAACTGAATGGCAATTCTCGCAGAATTCGTTTATTTTCGAGATACTTGCACAGTCGTTTCATGTCTCGAGCGTTTTTCCTGCTAGCAACCGGTCCCTTGTCTTCACTTTTTGGCTTTGTTTCTTTAATCCGTGTGAAGCACATCCTAGAATAATGTCCAATTCTTTGACATCTGTAGCACTTCTGGTTAAACGCGAAACATAAAACGTTAGGATGCACGTTACCACACCTTCCGCACACTGGATGCTGACATGAAGGGAAGTTGAACTTCTTCTGTCTCCACTGCGGTCGGAAAGAATATTCCATTGCTGGTCCTAACACGTGTACGTCTGCTTCATGTGTATCAGCACTGTCAAAACCGGGGGAAACTCGCTGTTTAGCTATTGTAGAGGTCCAGGATCTGACTACTACAAAATATATGTAGCAGTCCCGGGTGTCGTTACCCTTAGGTTTCTCACACCAAGTTTTACGGGATGAACTGTCCGTCAAATTCTAATTCTGGGCCAACCGTGAGTTTTCCTCTTATTGTTGAACCCAGATTCATAAAACCTCCAATAAGCCAACACGCGATATAGTTTTAGTACTTTTATATAGAATCAGCATAGAATATACTTTTACATGAGTTTGGGATGTATCAGCACCGAAGGTCTGATTCCAACTGACTATAATTTTTGACAACAAAACATACATACTGAACAAAGAAAGAGTAAAATATAGGATTAACAAAAAGTATAAAGAAATCAAGTATCAAACAATTATTGAGAGAATGGTGACATTTTAGCGGCATGTATATAATAGAATAAAAGTAGATGAAAGATTAAGTGTCAATAAATATAAATATAAGTCAATTAGGAGATTAACTGTCCATCTCTGACTGTGCCTCAGGTAGGATTAGGGCTGTGCGGAATTTATAGAATTTATCACATTTGAAGAAATATCCGAAAAGTTTTTAAAACAATTTACACAAAGTCCGAAAAGTTAATTTATACATGATTTTATATTTAGTCCAAAAAAGGTCATATTTTACACCGTAACACATGTATACAGGCCATTGCTTCATCATCTTTCCACTGCATGGTCCCACACTGGTGTTGATATACTGCCTGGTCCATGTTAAGTTGCATGTTCAAAAGCATCATGGGAGATATTGATCAATTTTGAATTATTTTAAGCTAGTTAAATATTTATGATTGCATTAGATAATTAAAGTGAATTAAATCAAATTTATATATATTATATAGTATATTAGAAGCTGCATGGCCATTTTGCATCTTAAACGTTTTTGAAAAGTTATCTGCTCTTGTTAAAAAGAAAAGTTTAATTTTACTTTTGGAAAAACTCTGTGGTCCTGGAAGATGATTCATTTTATTTCACGTTTTAATATAGAGAGAGTTTATGCAAATTTTACCAAGAGATGTTTATGAAATACAAAGTCCTTTTTTCTGAAGGATAATGATGAGAAGAAAAAAAAAACGAAAACAGCATACCTGCCCTTATTTCTTCATCTTAATAAAACATATGTTGATAAAGATTTCAGTGTAAAATTCAAAGTGTAATTAATTGGAATTGGACAATTAATTTGTAAATTCCTTTGGTTGAGTACTTTTCTTCGATAACACCTTCAAAACCCTACCATGATTGTAGAATATAGGAACAATACATTCATTTATAAAGTACAAAATATAATCGTTATACACTGAATACTCTATTTAATTGGTGTCACCACATTGTCACTGCATGCAAGACTCCCCCCCCCCCCCCCCCCCCTTCGGTCGAAAAAAAGACGCACATACACACACGCGCGCGCGCACACATCTCATGCTATGACACCTAATGACAATTGTAAGAGGAGTATGCTTTTTGAGGCAAAACCACTCCAATATATCCTTTCTTCAACTAGGGACCTATATACTAACCTGCAATGAAAATGGGACGAAACTTCTGGAGAGAATCCACACAGTCGGGACGAATCCACCCATTACCGATCAAGGTCTCCATTACGCTTTATATTCGTAGTAAAAAATATACGTTCTGCAAATGCATTGTTGCAACAGAGATGCAGGAACTCGGAAAGAAGACTGGAAGGCTGATCTTTGTTTGAAAGGATTAATTCACGTACATTTAAATCAATTTAGTCTCGTTTATATTCATTTTATTGAGATATTGGTTTAATATGCTTGAATTAGTCCATAATCACCTCAACAGCTCAACGCAAATCTAAGCGCATGAGTAATGGTAAAGCAATTAATCAACAGGTA